TGAGCTACTTGCTGATTAACGTCCGCGTCGCACCATGACAAGTGTTTCTGAAGCTGTTCATCCGCCCAACTTGATGTGCTCGAGCTGTAGCTAAATTTCTGTGGTGTCCATCAGTTTGTTTTTGCAGCAGCGAAATTGCTTTCCTATGATATTCGTTTTCACTGCCTGTAATCCACTGAAACAGCTTCTGACTATGAGTATCGGAATCGATCAGCAGTGCTGATGAGTGACTAGAGGTTCTGGGCTGAAGAACACCAGCGCTGTTGAGTACATCCGAGTGTTGTTCCAGCTCGTTTGGGTTATAGGTCAAGAGAGACCATCACTTAATGAGACAACTGTTGTGAATGATGGATCACTGTTCCACTCTCAAGGCTTTTGGCTGGAGTCTAGCCGCTAGCCCGTAGGGATGCATTTTGAAACTCATTTCAGCTGGTCTGCTATGGTATCATCATTTGCGGATTCGCCTGAGACTGTGTGGGGCTAGATGTCATGCATCATTAATTTATGGCGATTCGGTGTTCACTTTCTCTGTTGAAAGAAACCGAGGTATATGGACCTCCCTGGCTGTTAGTGAAAGACGGTGAATGCTCATTCGTGTGTGACGTGGCCTGTGTGTTCGAAGCTATTTAGGCTGCGGAGCTGGTATCTTCGGAATTGCGGCTGTTGTGATGATCATCCTAAGTTAAAACCACAAAGACATTAACCTTAATACTCTTGCTTCCAGAGGTCACTCTGCTGCGATAGTGGTCTTCGTGATAACCGATGCAGTGGAAACCAGGCGGGACTCCGCTCTGGTCGCGCCAATGACACATTACCTCAACCGCTGGTAGTGGTGGCAGGCATACAGCCGACCTAACACAATAATTTTCCTTGACTTGTAGGTCGCTTACGATTCAGTTGACCGTGCCAGTTGTGCTCCTACCTATCTTCCTGGTTTGTGTCAGAGTAACCCTTTCCTGTTCTGAACTCTGTTCCGATTTATATAGTCTAACGAGTGTCTATGGGCAGTCGTTCCCTGGATTTTCCACGATAAGTGAGATTCGACGAGACTGTCTTACATCCTTTCCTTCCTGAACTATCGAATCGGACTATCACAGATGAATTTGTTTTCTCAATCACTTTTCTATTGGAAGCTGACAGGTTTCGAGTCCACAAAACCATCTTTTATTTGGTCAGATCCACTTTATTTGCAGGCGCTCCTGGACAGACTGACAATGGACATTGCTTACATTTATGTGGGTTTTATGTCCTTAAGGTGTGTTTGTACTGTTGATAGGCTCGGTCTTGATGTCACCAGTTTTATCTGTTGGTCTACTCCTCGACAGCGTTACTCCATGTATTATCAATCGGAGCGTGTGGTCTTTCAAAGCCTTAATCATTCATCATAACTGGGATATCGGCTTGTTACTCAAGAGGAAGATGTGCACGGCTGCGGTGTGGCTGGTGTCGTCGTACACTAATCAGAAACCTGGTCATTACACCTCCTGAGCGTAAAGAAACTGGTCGTTATTTATCACCTATGTTTGCGTAATATGACTCATATTTACCAGAAAGACTGCGTGACCAGCATTAGAGCCTACTGGTTGGCGTTTGGAAACAGATATTCTGGTTGCGCACCAGTGTGTTGAAATCGAACCATTTGACTTAACTAGGGTTTGTTGTTGGTTTGTTGCCCGCTCACCTCGGTGTACAATGACTGTGATCTTTACGCATGCTTAAGTGATGCCTCAGAGCAATCCACTGATGTCACTGACATGAAGCAGTTGGCTAAAAGACCTAGTCGTTTTAGTACATGCAAGCTTTGTAGATTGAGGTCTCAGAAATAACCAGACCAGTGGTTGGAGACCACATGCGACAGGGCGCAGCCGCACATAGACTCTGCCATTTGTATCTATTTGTGTTTTCTAACCCGCTTACCCGCTGTTTTTCCAAACACCCATGTCTTTGTACTCCATTTACCGTTCTATACCCTTTGGTCACTCTTGTCTGACGACGCCGACACTTATGCGGCGGTGAATTACACATGTGTGTACTGGGCGCTGTTGATCCGGGTGGCTGTTTAGAGCGACCAATAAGTGGATGCTTAGTTTCGCTTCTGGTCGTTTTACGTCCGTCCTCCAACTGCATACTGAGACAGACTAACTTTTGTTTTACTGGGCGCTTCGTGATTTGGTTATCAATAGAAATAATCATTGATCTAACGGCGCGAAGAGAGCTTGCAGGCCACTAGACTTGATGTCGCTATCCTGTCTCGTTTTCTAGGATTGCGTCCACTCTACTCGAGACGCTACAGAGAATCGATCGCAGTCGATACCAGTGGGGTGTTTGCCACCCTCATAACTGGACTAGTTATCTTACGTGCCTGCTGATGCGGCATCATCTATTTGGAAAGGGTGCTTGCGACACACTGGAATAAGGAGGGGTTGCACCTTTTGTACATGGTTACCATGATATCGACGGATGCTGCCTGTCTTGCAGTGACTCGTTCAACGTATTCTATGTGCAGACCTTGAGGCTAGTTCCACTGCGGTTTACCGGCTTCGTCGTCTGCATTTAGCTTTCCTCGAATAGAGCAACTTGTTATTGTCGGAGATTGCTTGGGAAACCAATTTCCAATGCAACCGAGCAACGCATTTGCAGAACACATGTAATGATTCAGCGCAGAGTGACCAACCTTGCAAAATGTTAATGCAACTGGTGTGCTCATATATATATTAAAGAGAGAGCCCACTATTTGTGGTACAGCTATTATGCCATCGGGATCATGGTGGAGTAGAAAAACACTCACAACAACCAGATAAACAACAGGCAACTGATTTTGTCCGGTTTTCCACGCAGTTTTTGGGTTTTCTGACAGTTTGTTTTAATAGAGGAGGGAAAAGGATTCACCGCAACACACGAAGATACCCGTGCACCACAGACGTCGGTCTTGAAGCATGGCTTCCAGGTTCTCTAACCAGCGAGACTCCGCATCTCTGGGACCCAAACAAGGAAGTCGAGAACTGTGTGGAGCACTTGAAATGTACCGTATTTGCAAACCAGGACCACGGAAAGTGACCATGAAATGCCCGTTTTTTTTCTTATCTTGCCCATGCATAGTGTAATTGCCTCCAGGAAAAGTATGCACAACCGCAACCGAAAAGAAGATGAAGCTGGCAGTAGTGTAAAATACCAAAAATATAAAACGGTTGAGCTATGCAAATCATGGTCCCTCCCCTGTGTGCTGTGCTGGCCTGTTAGGACCCAGTTCAGCAAACGCCTCGAATCGCTCATTTGTAGGGATAATGAAGTAGAATTTACGGTGTTTATGTATGCTAAATGCTAGTCTCAAGCCGAGGTTGATGTTGCATACATCATGCTTCTTCACTGCTGTTTGGCTACATCGACTCACCTTTTAACCTGGATAAAACATATTCCACTCTATTTGATTTGCTCAGTTCTATTATTCTGCTGCGTATTCCTTCCATTTTCGCGCAATTATTTTTCTTCAAATTCTGTGTGGACTATTGAAATCCCCGATGTGAGTGTACTTGGTGTGAATGTTGACAAGATGCAAAACTGTCGAAAGACCACCACCTCGATTATACTACATCCAGGAGACATTTGGCCATTGCTTGGAGAGACGAGCTTCATGGTCATATTTCACTCAATAAGTGGTTTCATACGTCCGTTGTGGAGCGGACTACGACCAAACCAACGCCTTATGTCCGTTTGGTACGTATGATTCCCAAAGTAGTCAGGATTGTTGTTACCGTGGCTCCCATCCACATGCTTTCCGGTCTTATTCCTTCTGATTTACACTGGATTTTGGGTGTATGGGTGATGCAGTGGTCATTCTTGGTCTTTCTATAGGCGCAGGCGTCCTATGGCTGTCCTCGTAGAGGCCGCAGTGACAGGCAAATCTGGAACCGGATGCTGCCAACCAAATGCTGGTCACAAAGTCACTCCTCAGTCGTTGGTATTAAGTCAAATTAAATAAATGGATAATTTTATTCTCGAAAGTTTCTAGGTACGCTAATGTTTAGCCGAAGGGGTTTTCATCCTCACTGCATAAGTTCTTACTGATGTTCTTACTCACGGATTAGATAAGTTCGTGATCCACTTAATACTCTGTAGTCTGTGTTTCAAACACAATACATTCATTGACCTAGCTAACTCGAGTAGTTCTACCACGCATTTTAACTGCTTTTAATGTACCGCACTACCCAAGCGGCGCATTTCCCAATCATTGTCATTTCCTTCTGAAATTACCGCTAGTTTGACACTGCAGCCGCACAAAAAAAAACAATTCGTGTATGCGGCCTTTGTCCAGAAGCTCTTTTCTCTCTAATCCTTGAACTATGTGATGCCAACATTGCTTCCTTAGACTGATTTTATTCGTCAACTTGTCCTCTCGCGAAGTAGCGTACTGTCATCCAAGCTACGTTCTTTGTCTCTCTGAACTCGATTGTGTGTCCGTTGCTTACCGACTTCCTCCTAAACCTCCAAATTCTTTGTTTCCGCACACCAAATGAGTTGCCACCGCCGTCACCACCTAAGTGACCGGAAACCAATTCAGGTCAAACACACGCGCCGTCCTTATCAGACGTTTGGCAAACGTTTTTTTTTGTCCCCGGCAGACCACGAGCACCTGTGGCTGATGACTCTATCGAACTGGGCTGTGGGTCGGTTGTCTGTGAATTCTTACTTTCACATGCATCTTCCACTTCATTGCATTCTCTCAACCTTGCAAACTACCATGTGTTCGCCTTAGCTCTTCGAACGTTACGCACATGTTCCATGTCTGTAGTTAATGTCTTCTTTGTAAAATCTATTTGTTTGTCAATCCAGTACGTGACCTTGTACAGTTATTTTGTTCATGCATTGCACGAATCGCATCCTGCATCCGTCCTAGCGGACGGCAGTCATTCTCAAATACAAAATGCGTGCACCCTCATTTTCCAGGTGAGGCCTGCATTTCCATTCCCGGTCGACTTCCATGGACCAACCGTTGGTGCTGCCTGCATCCTCGATGCCTTGAAATTTATGCATTTGTTCGTCAGACCTCTTACGTTGGCTCCGATATCAACCGACGACAGTGTGCTGCTAGTACCGCATGCCCACTGTTCTCTCTTTCCCTCGAGCCGGGACAAGTGGAACTTGGGCTGGCGGGTGATAAACATCGCAAGGCTGCTCTTCGCTTAGCCGTACCGAAGCAGAGCAAAATTCCGCTGTTATTTGACTCGCCGGACAAGATACAAATGGGCGCCTGGATCCGTGGCTTCATCGAAGCATTAGGAATCATTACCCCAGGCCCGGCGCAACAGTCTTGTGAGCTTTTATTCGTGATGTTGCAAATTGTGCTACTTATTTCTTAAACAGTAATGTGGCGTATGAAATTTATTCGGCGATGCGCTAGTAACATCAGCTAGGGTTTATCTTCCAACTTTGATTCAAAATCCCTATTCGTTTCAGCAAACGAGATATTTCCCTCGCCGGTTGGCGTACCATGCAGACGTGATGCGCCGAATTCGGAGACCGCCGAATACGCTGTTCCTGAACGTGTTGATCCTAATGTGCTCGGTGGAGGACCAAGTGCTTCTCTCGATTCAGAAACAGATATTGTTGTTTTAGATAACCTCAATGACCTCTCTGCTGATTTGGATTCTATTCAGCTGTACGATGAAGTATATCCCATGCAATACGGCCGCCGTTCTACAAAAAATCTGAACGCCTCTCCGCACAAAAGGCGTTGGAGTTCCCCTTTCGTTCATTCCGCTCCTATCTCGAGATCAAATGATTGTCTGGAGCAGAACACTGGCTTTATCGTTGGCAATCACTCTAATCGTTGGTGTGTTCCTCCTCCAAGTCGGCGTTTGTTAGCGCAACCTCTCCCTCCACTGCCCTCTGTAGGGCCCAGTGGTGCTGAGTCGATGGCTGGCACAATCGCAAGCAGTCACACGTCATCCAATCTCACGGCGGATGAAAGCGTGCTGCAGCAAGAAGAGGCAGCTTCTGAGGTACACAATTTCATCATACTTTCGTTGTACTTATTGCGCATGCGATGATGCGGCCATTCTCCGTGACTCATCTTGACGCGTTGATTTCATGGTTTATGTTGATGCATTTTCTAGGTCATTTCTGTCAAGAGCGGATTTGTCTTTTGCAATTGTCGACCGTTCTTTGCAATACTGATTACGTTCTGTTTGCAACGGAGTAGGTATTATACTTAAACGGGCTCTCACTACAACGAGTTCCATAGATTTTGGTCACTTCGTCGGAATCGAACAAGCTCTTGAGTCCCCCAACCATATTACATGATCGTGCCGGTTAGATGACTGTACATTACTGGCTGTCTGTCTTGTTTTTTCATGTATTACAGTTTTAATAACAACCGGTTTCGTTGAAGTGTTCTTGCTTTCAATCATGCTTTGCAAATGTTGAAGATGTGAGCAGACTGATCTTATTTTACTCTCAATTTGATCGGATAACCTCATACACCTCGGATCAGCGAATTCCGCAAACGGGGTCATCTGACAAAATGCACATTTACATACATCCACTTTTTATCTATTGCCAGACATGCTTATCTTCATATTTCCAGTTGGTCCACTATTCTTGGGTTCTGTCTACTATGGGTAGTCTAATACTCTGGTACACGAATGCAGTCAGAACTGCCTTTGTTTTGTTTCTTTCCTGAGTGTCATATACGTTGTGGGAAGCGTTGAGTATTGTCTACACACACGTCTTTCTCGAGCTTCCTGTCTTTTTCCTTATGGTGTTATAGTTAAGCATCGGTTAAGATGTGTCCTACAGAAGTAGGTCATCAAGAGTCATTACTACTTGTCATTTCTCTTTTCTGCGTTATTAGCCCGAGATAAGCATTCCGACTTGGTCATCCACTCGGGCAAAATGCCATGTTCCACTGCGCAAACGTCGAACTTCATGCTGTTCCCGCTCCCCTCGATTATCTCCCGACACCAATCACCAGGTTCTCCCCAATCTCCCTCGACGTCATTCCAGTCTGATCAGTTTATATTATCAGCTACCCTACAACGAACCCATGGTGGACGTGGCCTCTGGAATTCCCGATCCCATCGGCCCACTTCCTGCGTCACGTGATGATTTGGATGAAGTGGACACCGTGAACATGTCGACAACAACGCACAATCATCACGCGTTGGGCCTCGACTTCGCATCTTCCTCACAAAGTTACGACACAAGCACCACTTGCGCTGGTTTTCCTTCCGATTTATCTTTACCGTGCACTGAAGGTGATTAGTATTCTTTTTCTTTTACTCACATGTTTTACTCATTCCGCGTGTGTTTAGCATTATGTTTCCATAGCATCGATTTCGCATCTTAAAATAATACTGCTGGGGTTACCAGTCCGCTCTCAACGTCTCCATACCTTGTTTTGCGCGAATGTGTGGCGCACTTCACCATGTGACACCTTATTCTGCTGCTTGAATTTGACTCTTAGCAGTAACCTATCACGTTGTGATTATCATGAGTGAGTGTGGCTTGAACGATGCCATATAGCTGGCGGCATCAATGTCAATTTGGCCTCCATGAGGACAGCCACAGGACATCCACACCTACAGAGGAACCATGGATTGCTTGAGCTGCACCACCCACATTATTTTCGTGGTGAAATCACCTTGATCAAGTCCTGGTAACACAACTCACCGTTATTACGATGCTCCACACAAGCACCGTAATCACAAGCAGTATCAAAAGCGCAATACATGGAGGTACATACTAAACAGGGCAGGGGTTGGCACGCCTTGCTTCACACCAGAGACAACAGTAAAGTTATCCTAAGTTTGTCCAAGGAGCCGCACCCTCTCCCGCATACCATTGTGCAGATATTCAATTAAACTTACTTGGGCAACCAAACTTACCCAACATCAGCAACAGTAACTCGCGGTTCTCTGTGTCAAATGCCTTTGTGAAGTCTCTAAACAGTGAGTACAGCGGCTAGTGCCGCTCTTTGCATTTCTCCTGCAACTGACGAGCCGCGAACACCATGTCTATGGTGTTGTGGCCCGAACCGAATCCGCACTGCTCTTCCACCACGTACGGCTCAAAGACCTGAGCGGTTGCGCAGGACTCGGGCGATCACTTTCCTCGCACAACTCAAGTTAAAACCACGATAATTCCTGGCACATTGCTTGCTCCCGTTGGCCTTGTACAGTGGTAGCACTAGGGCATCTTTCAGCTCGGATGGTACACATTCTTTGAACCACACGCGTTAGATCAAGTGATGCAGCATATGCATCAAAGCGGGTTCGCTGTGTTTTAAATCTTCTGGCCGTATCCCGTCGGCTCCAGCGCACTTGCCGTTTCGCATTTGAGCAAGTGCTCGTCGCTTCTCATCTAGTGTCGGCGTATCGGTAAGACGCATCTTCATCTCTTGTTGTTATAGACCACACAACACACCTCAGTTATTCTTTGAACGGTTGTTCAAAAGACAGTCAAAACGCGTTTTCCAGAACCGCATTGTTTGCAGCCAACTCCTGAAATAGCATCGAGCAGCGTTCTCAGCGGTTGCAACGTGGGTCCATACACCGCCTTCAAGGAGTCAAAGAATTCCTCGTGTTGGCGGCTTTCCGTGTGGCATTCTATCTGCTCCGCTTTCTCCGTCCAGTATGCATTTTTAGTGCGACGGAGCTCTCGTGTCAGTCGCCGTCGAAGTTTACGGAAATGACTCGGCAGGGTCACCCACATGCGCAGCGAATGCTGCATTTTTCTCCGACACTAATGCACCAATAGTCGCACTGTTGTCGTCAAACAAGTCAGGCTGCTTACAGTTTGCGTGCCCGATCATTTCCTCGGCAGCAGCCGTCACCTGTTGACGGATGTGATGCCACAGGTCGCTCACTGAGGCAATGAATTCGACATCGCCAAGGTGGGTAGCCATCGCCTTCTCCAACTCCATCCTCTTCTCAGCATTACTTAAGGAAAGCGTTAGATTTGCGCCAGTTCACGTCAGATGAGCAATACAGATTTGCAAAGATATGTGCAATTTGGTCCCCACCAAGTTATGATCAGTGCCACACTCAGCTTCACGCAGTATACGTGTCATGCGCACTTCGCGTGTGTCACGCCGGCGTACGATGACATTGTCGAGCAGGTGAGCGTGACCACTCCGTGGGTACTTCCAACTAGCTATATCACTCTAATTCAATGCAAACTGTTCGTGATCGTCAGGCTTTGAGCAACTGGGCACTGTTCCCATTGGTAGTGTCAATACCATACGGACCGATTACGTCTCCGCACAGCGGTATCACGCCCAACGCGCGCGTTAGAATCACCCGGTAAGAATAGCCGGTCACTCCTCGGCACAGACCGTATCACAGAGGATAACTGAGCGTAGAACTGATCTCATGTGTTATCAGGATAACACATTGTGGGACCATAAGTGATAATAAAAGTTACAAGCTTGCTTCTTCCAAGTCGCAGTCGGATAGTCATCATTCGTGCGTTGATGCCGGTCGGTTCTGCCACTAGCTGGTCATTTAGGCGGTCGGATAGTGTAAATCCGACCCCAGGTTCACGTGGTGCTGTGGTGGCGTTTCCCACCCAGTAGGACGTGTACCTATCACCAACCTCATGCAACCTGCCTTGGTCAGCGTGCCGTGTCGCGTTGAGTGCGGCAATGTCGATCGCGTAGCGCGCAAGTTCCATCCCCACCTGTGATGGGAGTGTCATTTCAGTGAGCGGATGGACCAACCGACCTAGTCAGACAGCCAATGGGAGGCGGGCGTAACGGATTCGATTACTGGACTCGGATTGGCCGATATTCATGTGAGTGGTTCACCGTTTGTTTAACTGAAGCAAAGCAGGGAGCTCATCGATTCAGAAGGGTCGTTAGTTATGGATTTGAACATGCAAATTATATCGAGGAGTTTGGCTTGCCAAATATGCTGTGATTTTCGCCGACTTCACTTTGCTGAATAAACGCTTGTCCCTGAAGGACTGAGTTCTGTAACACCGCCATTGCAGTGCGTCGCTCGGGTCGCTCACTCTTTTGCCGGTCGAGTAGAATGCACACGTTGCAGCACCCGATGTTGGGCGGTTTGCGCGGATACACGCGATTGCGGACAATCGCACATGTAGTTACCTGGACTTGAGGAAGTAGTTGGTTCGGGTGAAACGGGGACGGAAGACTATGTGCAGGAGGAAGAAAGAAGAGAGGCGTCATCGGTAGCATGTTTTCGCTTATCCACCCCGCTGGATGCAGTAGATAAGGCGATCCTTTTTCTAAAACCACTGCGCGACGGCCGATGCAGCATGGAATTATTGTTATTGGCGCGATTCATAGTTGGGGGTTGGACTAGGATACCTGACAGGAGAAGGACTCTGGTCTTCGGTCAAAGCGTTCGTTAAAGTGTACACCCGAAATGCAGCGGGCCATACACCATGAGTCAGTGATACGACTCACGCGGAATTATGCTTTTTGGCTGCTAGGTAGAAGGTGTAACCCAACTTCCACCTAGCAGTCGCCACGAGGAAGCGTCCAGGACCTGATTGCACGACACTACATTAGCAGCAGCGGGTCGACTATGTATCCGGATCTCGCGACCACAAGCCACAGCGCACCAGGACTGAGGTATGCACATATTGCACTTGAGTTGTATTTTGTTTAATTGTACCGTAGTTGACGTCTTGGTTTGACCATGGCATTTTTACCCGTTACTCGAGACTCACAATGAGTCTGACTTTTAGGTAAATAGCTTATCGCCACAGTTGAGTATACAGTCACATCTGCCAACGGCTGGGTAATTGGATGTTATGCAGGCTACTTCTTGTAAATTGGCTAAAACGGTTTGAGCACTTTTTCGAAAACCGAATGTAAGACAGGACGTAGTGGGATTTGCTAGATATATTCTTTTTGTGATCGCTTCGTTGCGGTTATCAGATAATCTGTGATATTACCGTCTTCTAACGCATATGGCAGACGGCATCTGCAGCACACACACACTAACGATAAGACATCACTGTTCTATTGTACCTCTTATTTGTCTATCATCCCACCTGGTAACCGTATTGATGGCATTTGCTTCCGTATTTCCATATCCGTCTCTATCTATTGTTGATGTCCACACTTCTGACTAAATTCATAACTGCCACTTTTAGGTTAACGCTTCAATGTTAACTAACCAACGACAGTCGTACTGGTTGCTTAGATAATGACACTTGAGATCTTCCAACACTAGTTGAATATGGTTGTTATTCTTTCACTCAATTCATACTCGCGCACGTTCGTAGTGTTATTGCTCATGAGGGTTATTGTTTCTCCATCGGGTTAGTGGTAGTCCATACACTCGCACGACACCATTATCTGCTGGCTCGATGTCTAAATGGGACTCAACTAAATTCCAAGTCCCGCTAACATATGTTCGTATCTCGATACATTCCCATTGGACAGATGGATCTTATTACATTTTTTCTCGTGTGACACCGTGACTTATTACGGGTTGCAATATGAGGTCAGTGTATCCCATCTCAAGTGTCTCTGTACGCACGTCCCCCCGGTACTGGTGCCGCCTTCAGGTAAATGCGCTGAGATTCAGACAAGTCATCAAGGTTGATTCCGGAACAACGGCAACACGTTGTGACATCCAAATCGAAATGCTTGGGTACAGGTAGCATTTTAGACGCTGCTGAATTGGTCGACATATGCTAGCGGTCAGAACAAATGACCAAGGGAAATAAATGGTAACACACGACGGACTGCTTGGTAGTTCTACATCCCTGTTGATTCTCGCTCACCTCGGACAAGAGACGATTATAACCGACTCTGGTTTTACCTTACGACATGGATAGCCTGCAGTGGACATAATCGCACCATTTCCCTGCTAACTTGAAAAATTGCTTGCTCCATCTCCGTCATTTTCTTTGTGTCATCTGTATTCTATATCCCACATGTAAGTCGCGTTTGGGTACAGTTTCATTCTAGAATGATTAACTACTGACTTGGTGTAATGTGTTATCTTTATTGCACCTGCCTAGAACGGATGAGCCACAGTGAACCTAACTTTATTAGGCTTATTTAACTCGGTTGTATTTTGCGATGACTTCACATGTTGCCCATGACAATGTTGTACTCATCATGACCTATGCTATTCTTGCTACCTTTTCAAGTGGAGTCTAGTATGGTGACGTACCGAGACGGTGAGCTTCGGCATCTTCATATTATTATTTGGCCGCGATTCACACCACTATGTAAACTCCATGGTATTACTCACCAGACTATGCTATGTACATTCTGCTCCTTGAAATCGATTTGTAGGTTACATAACCATAGTTTGACCAGCTGCTCAATGATAAGTAGCATGACGCTTAGAGAGCCGGTGCATCGCAGAATAATGATTCAGTCCATACATGAGCTCATTCGTAATTGACGTGCGCGCGGTGTTTCCGAGCGATTTGTGTGCTTGCTACGGATCAATGCTAGGGTGGCAAATTATGGGGTATGTTTCCAGTTCGATGGATACGTTTAAATCAAAAGATTATCGTCGCTCTGCTGCTTACAGTACGCATAAGGTGTCCAGTTTGACATTTGGAACACAGTATTCAACGATTGTCCCTCGTGTGACCACATTGGATTATGCATTCAGAGAGAAATTTCCCTGGAAATTCTGTGGCAAGTGTACAATCCCGACAATTAACCGACTAGCGATTATCACGATGTCGCCATTTCATGTTCCACTCCGCAGGTTGGTGATGAGATTGAGCATAATTATAGTTCTAGTTGTTCCTCAGCCATACTGAATTTACCGGGGCTTATGAAAACAGACGTACTAAACGGATGGAAGATAGATGCGCAGACGCCTACCAGAAGTTGCATTGCACATGGCCAATCTTTTGGATGGACCAACGGGAATGATACGTCAGTGTGTTAGTATATTACATCGGAAAGGAATCGGCGCATAGCGACAATCGTTTTATGAGCACCGAATGGCTGCACCCGAGACGTACGATATAGATCGTTAGCAAATAGCTTATGGCCACAGTAGAGTACACGTCGGTAGGTACAAACGGTTGATTACTTGGACATTCGCACAAAAAATGCGAACATTGTTCGGAAATTCGCATGTTTGACAGTAGGCAGCGGGACTTAGTTGATGTCACCTGTCAATACCAAAGGTTGCGCATCAATCGTTCTTTGAGTAGGTGCACATACCTCGGGCAGCACATGACCGAACCGGTCGGAGACACAGAGAGCCAGAAGTGGACACTGCATCGCATTCGCATACTGCGTGATCTCCCCCATGAGCTACACAAACCAGACTGTACATGTAGTGGGCAACACCTAAGTGCACACTATTTCACTGTACCAGTAGTTTAGTTAACATTCTACCTAGCAGTTGTTTCACCATTGCTATACCGGGTTCCTTCAAATACGGATGCCCAAGATTTAAGGCTGTCACGTCTAAATGTTGAAGAGAACATCAACAGTTCTTATTGGATACTTATTGTCGTGCCTGCGAAAGTGGTTGTTACCCTGACCTCCAAACGAAACCCGTACACGTTTGTCGTACCATTGATGATGATGTCTAATGTGTCTCTATCCACTTTGTGACAGCTCACACTTAAGTTTGCATAAACGCATGTGCATATGTTGTATTCGAACTGCCATTGGACACGGATGACGCCAATCTATGTATATGTGTATACCGAATGAATTCGACGAGGATACTCATACAGCTTTTGTGCGGCTAACTTAGTGCAGGGAAACGGCACTCGAGCAAACAGAAAATAACATTACCAGAATATGAAGAAGGTGAGTTTATGACAAACTCATGTTGATTTCAGGTGTTGTGAATCCAAGGCAAATTTGATCGATGCGAACTCCGTGGACTGATCATAAGGGCGGTTGCTCAGGTGCAGAAGATACTATTGCACGCGGAATAGAAGCATGATGCATACGCTCCCATTCGATTTACTAATCCAGTCCAATAAGGCGGCGTATGTGGTACGTTTGCTTGCGTGCTGATTAATCTCGCATTTCAGGAGTAGATGTTGCTTGAGCTCCCCGGTGTGGATGCGCCTGATGTGAATGTTGACAAGATGCCTACCTGTCTATTACCCACTACCTCCTCTATACTGGCTCCAGGAGACAGTTGGTCGTCGCTGGAGGGGACGGAGTGCACCGTCCTCGTGACGGTGCTAGGCCCAAAAAGTGGTTCCATCCTGTGTGGAACAGGCTACGGTCCAGCCACCGCCATGTGTACGTCTGGTGTGCATGATTCCTCAATTATGCCGGAAGGCTTCTGTTCTGCTTGTTGAAGGAGTGTGGGCCGGCTCCGTTGATGAAACGTGGCTCGCATGCACATCCTTCCCGGTCTTATTCCTTCGGGTTTACACCGGATATGGGGTGCGTGGGAGGAACTGTGGGTGGTGCTTCGCAAGCCATCCATGGTGCCCTTTATAGGCGCAGGCGTCCTGTGGCTGTTCCCATGGAGGCCACAGTGACAGGAAAATCCTCATACGGATGCCGCCATACCATATATATATATATATATATATATATATATATATATATATATATATATATATATATATATATATATATATATGACTCGTGCCCCATGCTGAGGCTGATGTTGCATTCTTGATGCTTCTTCACCGCAGTTGGGCTAAACCAACTTACACTTAAACTAGGTCTTTTTAAGCTGGATAAATTTCATTCCGCTTTATTTGGTTTGTCCTGCCTCCCTGAATAATGTTCTATTAACTGGCCACGTTGCTTACACTAATTGCGCTTATCTTCGGTAATTTTGTTGCGTTTGTAGCATTTTTAAGTAACTTGTGGACATTTCTTACTTATCACGGATTTGTTGTTAACCAACTTACTTCATATGGTAATTTAGGGAAGAGTTATGCCACCGCATCTGTATGCATAGTTGGATTTATTTTATTTCAGCTTGTCGTTTAAAGTGAATGGCTGTTGTTTGATATCCCCTGTGTGGTTGCGCTTGATGTGTATGTTGACAAGGTGCCTACCTGTCTATTACCCACTACATCGTTCATACTGGCTCCAGGAGACAGTTGGTCGTTGCTGGAGAGGACGGGGTGCACGGTTCTTGTGGCCGTGCTAGGCTCAAAGAGCGGTTCCATGCACTCAGTGTGGAGCGGACTACGGTCCAGCCACCGCCTTGTGTGTGCGCTTGATTCCCCAAATACAGCGTGTTTGTGTTTGCCTGTGAATGAGTGTGGGCCGGCTCCGTTGATGAAACGTGGTTCCCATCCGCATGCCTCCCGGTCTTATTCCTTCGGGTTTACACTGGATATGGGGTGTGTGGTTGGAGCTGTGGGTGGTGCAGCGCAAGCCACCCATGGTCCCTCTGTAGGCGCAGGCGTCCTGTGGCTTGCCACAGTGACAGGCAAATCCGAAACCGGAAGCCGCCAACCATATGTGACTCATACCTAACTATAGGAACTGACTCAAACATTTCACATCACTCCTTAGAGGCGGAGTCGAGCGGCCGTGTCTACTAACTTAAAACGATCCACGTACGTATGTGATTCACACAGGTGCTTTGTATTTGTGTCCGCTGCCCGATACCTCCGAGTGGATTCACATACGTTTTTACGCTCACCTTCTCCTGTCTTGTTTTTCTTGTCAATGCACAGAAACTGTTTCCAGTCTCGTATTAATATATGGAGCATCTAAGGTACCGCATTACCAATATATGTTACACATGTTCTTTGCTCGTCTGTCGCCAGATTTCTACTGCGGGATTTCATGGTCGATCTGGTGGCTGTTTGTATAGAGCCGTATGATCTCGTCCGGCATCTACTGAGGAACCATGCTATTAAATCATTTATTACATTCTACCTCACATCTGATTCCACACTCACTGTGTTAAGGTCCCTAACTCAGGTACACACGCGCTGCGGTAGGGTTACACAATTTTAAGTCGCTGCAGCCTCTGACCATCTGTAACGGCGCGAAAGATTACTGGGGGCCTTACGACACATACATCAATCTCTTCTCAGTATGAATCGCGTAAGTAGTTTGCAATTCTGCAATTCACTCATATCTTCACTGTGGCCCATGCGTGGCGCATGTGTTCGTAGTCGACATTCAAGGCACATCGCACAAGTGGCACATTCCATCCCATTATCAACTATCCAACATTTTGCTTATTGTCTCACTCTGCCAAAATGTATACCTACGCATGCCGAATAAGTCTGTTTTAACTGGTGACCATTCTTAATGTTGCTCCATAACTGCGAATCATTTACAGATATTTATTCTACGGATTGGCGCTTGCGTCCCCTACCATCCTGGCCAGAAGACTCGCCTTGTGCAAAGCCTGTTAACGTTGCTTTGGCAGCTGCTGCGGCAAGAAGAAGCGTCTCTTGTATTACAGGGACTAAACCTCGTATCGCGAGTCTGGAGGATCCTCGGATTATATCCACTCTTCCGCCTCGCCACGAATTAGATTCGGCATTCTCAAATCACCTCGTTGACCCAGTTGCACATCTGCTACCCGGTATGGTCCCCATCCGTCCCCGAATAAATTTGTTCCATCGCACTGCACAGTCATCACATTCCTCCCAAACTACCACTTCTTCCGGTGCTGTAGCAATGGCATGCCCTTCATCGTCTCCAAGATCCGAGGGGACAACGCGACCTGCCTCCTCAACCATTTCATGGCCACCACCCGCTCCAGAAGTGGAGGAATCTGAAGGCTACCACGTTGACTGGTACCTGAAACCACATCCCGAGTCCAACGAAGCCACATCACCTCCTGATGCTTCAGAATCTCTGGTATTCCATCGTTTATAGTTGATTAATTTTAACGCTTTCTCCGTTGCACTCGCTGAACAATGTGCTTTAGAATTATCGGTCTAAGCTGTAGCTACTGCTGTTCGACTGAATGTCCAACGGTACATAAATACTCGCAGTTTAGCCTGTTCCCCACCACCTTTGAATGAGTAAACGGGTCAATCCTTTGTTGATCCTCAGCTTCTTGGCTTTAAAGACTTGATCGGAACTGGTGTATTGGTAAAACACGAACGTGGTGTCTTTGATGGCTTATTTGATCGCGGTTCCTAGATTATTCGCCTGGAATGACATGTCATTCTACTGTTGTGTAGTCCACAAAAGCTTAGAAACACCATACCAGCCTCGTGATTCCCATTGTCGTACTGACATGAGTAAATGATTTTTCCTATAATTTGATCGTTTTTCTATATAGTTTGACTCATTCTTCTAGCTTGTGAATCCCACTTCGTCCCAAAACTGAATATTAGCTGGACGAAATAATTAATGGACATATGGCCGCTGTATATGCTCCTTATGTTGTCCTATTATCTTGTCTTCACTGAACCGGCTAACTTCGTCTGTCTCACAGGCGGTTGCAAGACAACCATCAAATCCCATCAGTGTCAATGGGCGTCAGTGTGAGACTGTGACTGATGGTGTCACACATTCCGGTGGTGATGACTACTCACCCATGAATACTTCGCTCATTTTGGTCGCCACTCAACTGGAAGAGGTTCAACATGGTGCTCAGAAATTGCGGTCTAGACGGTAGGTGGTGTTACACTGAACTGTCCCCGTAAGATGTATCACACGATGTTACCATATTTGTGAAGAAACGCGAATAAATAGTCCAAATGAATTTACTTTACTTGATTCTGAAGACAGGACAAATTTTAATTTTGGAGAGTAGACGTGAGCCAATCAACACACCGATTATGCACGCACGATCAACTGAGTCATAGATGAGACTGCGGTCGGACACAAAAAACGAGACTGGAAACGGCCCCACTTTACGGGCAATTATTGCCTATAAGACCTGGAGGGCAGCATCGCCAAGTCAGCATTGTGTTTTCAAAACGAACAAGTTGTGTACTACCACCGGATTCTAAAGTTTCATCTCACCAGTTTCTATTGATAGTAGTGTATATTTGCTAAGTGGGAAGCAATAGTTAACGGACTGTTCGGTTCATCATGTAAAGACATGATGGTTGTTGCCGTGCCCCGTAGCCCAGTGGTTTCAACCAGTGGCTGGCAACAAGCCGGCTTGCCGGTTCGAACCCTACCAGGATCCGATGGAATGCGCACTGTTGACGATTCCCGAAAGAATGAAAAGCGCGTACAGTGTTTCTCCGGTCGTGTGATGGCTGTTTGAGTGAGTCTAGATGTGACGAATTTCTACTTAGACATGAAGTTGTTTATATCCATCGACGGTGGCCAGACACTCGATGCCTGGGTCATAGTTATCTAAATCTTCAAACAGACAGAATCACTCTAAACATGTATGTTTTTTGTTGGCTTGCCTACACACACACACAGCCCACCTCTATGCAACAACCCTCCTTTGAATGCATTTGTTGCCAGTCGTTTGTTGCTTCTCATTAACCGAGACCAGCCATGTCTATACTCACCCCGTTCTGTTGCACTTCGTTTTAGTGAGACCCTATCTTTCCGGTTGTCCAATCGACTCACAAAAGAGCGCAGTGACAAAAGTGAGACCAGCCCACGGCCAGTTAGTACTGAAAAAACGGTGGTCGGCGATGACGCGTCGCATGCCGGAATCTGCAGCCAGCGTGATACGGCGCGCGAAGATGATGGGACTGAGGAAGCCACGGCGAGTCTGTACGCTCGTTTGGCCGCGATTGAGATGCTTATTAGTCAAGCAGCATCCATGGAAGCTCGTCTAAGAGATGAAATGATCCGGTACCTGCCAAATGGGTCATCTGCACCGGATCCCGCGTTCAGCACCGGCCTTCAGGTAATAATAATAATACGTATACTTCCCGACTGTACGAGAAGCTGTTCCTGCATTGTGGACAGATCATGAGTACAACAATTATCATGCTCATGCATGAGTGAAATATGTATTATAGGGTGTATGATAACAAAATAATTTGCTGGGTTCCTTGTACCATCTTTAAACACTGATTATATATTCCTTGGTCCATCTTGAAAGAACTCGTGTGGTGATTTACCCGATGGAAGCATGGTCATTATTGAGTTCTGGTCAAGGAATTTGCTAAACTGAATGTGGAATGCTTTTGCATTTGTCCAAGACTTGATTGTGGCTGGTAGGCTATTCCGCACGACAGCGTATCTGACGAGGAAGAAGTTGGATCGGATAGCTGTCCTGGTTCTCAATACCCATAATGTACAAGTCTTGTTGCGTATAATCCGAGTGAAGTTATGTTGAATTTTAAGTGTACAGAGATTGGAGTATGTCTTTTGGTTCATGAGATTGTGTATCAGCATCAGGTTATCTTTCAGTCGTCGCAACCAAAGGGGCTGGAGCTTAAGCTGCTGGCAGCGCTCTTGATAACTCAAGGTGGTTGATTTACTGAACAATTGCTTAGTGTATGATCTTTGCAGGTTTTCTAAAGCTTTCCTGTCACCCATTCGCATGTTCCAATAGATGTTGCTGCAGTATTCAAAGACAGGAAGTGTAAGTATTTTTGAAAGGTCGAGTCTGGCAGGGGTTGTGTAGATTTTATGGCATATGTTAGCCACAGATCGTTTGGCGCCTTCTCTTTGATACTCAGCATGCTCTGAGATATTAAAGTTTGAGGAGTATCGTATGCCTAGACCACAGTTGGATAGTTTCACACAGATACGTTCATTGTTCAGTTTAACAGACTCTTCAGGGATTAAACAGCCGTGTGACATAATGCACGATTTACTAGCTGAGAAATTTAGCATCCATGTGTTGCACCATTTCTCAAGTGAATCGAGATCTTCTTGAACGAATAGCATTGCGCTGTTGAGTTCCTTTCGTCGAAATTTATAAACAATCTTTATGTCATCGGTGAACAAAAATGGCCTGCCATGTTTTATGAACACCGTGATATCGCTAATATAAAGTAGGAAAAGCGAAGGACCATTACACTCCCTTGGATGATACCACTAGTGATTGGACGTGGGGAGGAGTTATGATTACCCAGAGTGACTATATGGTAAGGCCCATTTAGGTATGATGTCAACCAACCAAATAGTAGGTCTCTGATTCCAAACGACTCGATTCTTTTCAGTAGCCGCTTGTGGGGCACTCTGTCGAATGCTTTCTGCATATCCAGCAACAGTAATTATAACTGCATATTTCGAATCAATGGCTTCTGTGATGTAATCCAGGTAGTGCAGCTGACACGTGGTACAGGAACGTTTGTCGAGGAACGCATGCTGGGATTTGTGAAGTAGCCCAAGACCATGGATAAAGTCAGTGATTCCACTTTTAACTAATTTTTCGAGTAATCTAACGATGACGCGAGTATGATGGATAGTTCGATAATTAGTGACGTGCTGTTTGGACCCCCCTTTATGACGTGGGACAATAAACGGTGTTTTCCACTGGTCCGGAAAGTAGCTAGATTCTAAAGAAGGTGAACAAGTTTAGCAAAAGCAGTGGAGTCAGGTCCACCAAGTTTAATAACTGATGGGGGGAATGCCGTCGGAGTCTGGTTTGATGGACTTCATAGCCTGTTGTATGGTCGAAGGAGAAAGCAAGACATTGTCTATGCCGCTTGTTGTAAGTTCCGGGCAGCAAGGTGTAGGGTCGGTTTCTGCATTCATGGAAGCAGCGGAACTGCTAAACGCTTCACAAATAGCAGGTGGGTTGTTAAGGTTGCGACCCTTCTTATCAATACGATCTGTAATCAAAGACATTCGATTGTTAGTCCTACAACGGAGTAATTTGGCCAGTTCCTTTCCTCTTCCTTTTCAACCCGTTTCGTTTGTGAGCGCTTGCTGCAGGCGATGGATTCGTGCAGCTGTACTACTAGTGAGAAGTCTCTAGTGTTTCAGAATTTCCCGAGTAGTTTTCAAGTCACTCAGAGTGTCGCTTACATTCATAGGACAAGGAATGGCACCTTTATTATGCGGGACATGTACAGTTAGGGTGCGATTGATCTGACAGTAGAAATGTTCCACTGCAATATTGGTGCTAGTAGAGAGAAAAAACCCATCCCAGTTAGAGGACCGGATCTACTTTCCGAAATTCTCCCAATCAATCCTTCGTATAGTATGCTGGGTAGTTGAGTCGAGTTTGGTATTCATTTCCAGAAGGTTGTCTAAGAAGTCAATTTGTGCGTCAGGAATCCCCAGGGTGAAGATTAAATCCAGTATGTTGGCAGACCTAGTTGGTCTGGTAACCAATTGAGTCTAACACCCAACTCTGATAGTCGATAAGAAAGATCTGTGCAATGACGAGAATGTTTGTGGTGACCAACTAATATTCGGTAGATTGAAATCGCCAGCAATTATCGTTAGACCGTGTGGTAACAGCGATGCGAATTCAAAAGTCGAGGAGATAATTGCGATATCTTTGGTTGTCGCTTTCGGAGGGTTCCAGATGCAGCCGAGAAGTATTGTAGAGGAGGCTGCAGCGACTGATAGCCATAGAGACTCTGGGACATTGTTTAACTGTGGGTCATCAATGAACTCTGCTCTAAAGTTCCAATGGATATATACGATGCACCCGTCGCCTTTCTTTGTGCTTCGATCTTTTCGAAATAGATAATAGTTAAGAATATCTAAAGTAGCATCCAATGTATCAAGGGAGCACAATGTTTCCGTGACGGGGATTACATGTGGAGTGCTCAGCTGAGTAACCATGCTTACAAAATGCAACTTTTTCTTTATGGATCTTGCGTTAAGTGAAAATGTAGTGTGCACAAAAACGTTTTCTGTAAGTACTTCAAAGGATTGGGAATCAGAAATGACAGACAAAGAAGTTAAATAAAGGAGTGGTGGGAAGAAACCCATCGGTGGGATGCTCAGGTGTAAGGGCATTGTTCGCTCTAGTAAGACCGGGTGGGCGGAAAAGATTGATGTCCCGAGGCAGGTTGAGGTTTATCTGATATCGAGCTAACCGTGACTTGTGGATGAACTGCCAGAAAAGTGGAACAAGATAGGCTGTCTCTGCTGGATGTGTCAGTTGTGCGAATGGGTGCGGAACCATTCCCGCTTCCGCTAAAAAAAGGATTAAGGTAAATTGTTGGATTCTGAAGTGCTGCATAGTTATGTTGCATGACAGATGGTATTGTCAGGTTTTCAACGTCTTTTTGATTTTCTTTTCTCTGTCTACAGTTGTTGTAGACGTGAGGCTGGTAAGTATGCTGGTCTGTTGGAGGATGATGTAGCCAGAAAATAATTGTTGTGAGTTCTAACGGGCTTGAAGTGACGCGTAGCGCTGCGATGGCAAGGCAGTTGTCGATATGCAGATTTGAGTGTTACTGAATTCGTCATAGCTGCGTATTTTGTGTAAATACTAGGCGATGATATATTTGTGTTCAAAACATCAGCACGCAAACCTAGGGACGCATCTTGACCTTTTTATATGTTTCCCTATGTTTTTATTTGGTTCCCAGCAGTCGCCTGTTCGTCACATCTAACACTTCCATTAGCGACTAAACCGTTTGAGTTCGGGGCAATGGGACCGCGGTCACGAGTACTAGCGTATGTTAATTTCGGTTGTCGTACAGTAGGCGTTGAGGTAGAAGTTGGGGCAGAGTGAGTTGATATTGCCGCCTCTAGATACGAGTTGTCGAGGTCCACGTTGGTAACTGCGGTTGATACACTTGGTGTACCATTTTTATGTGGATTTGTGTGCGGTTTGTCAGCGTAGCTGTTACGGTTTTCCGGCGGTTTCTGTGTAATTCTGAGGTGGGATCGTTGCAGAGGCGTAAGCTCCGGCTTAATCAAAATATCTTTGTACTGGGCACATGCAGTAATGATATG